TTCATTTCGTATAGATGGATTCTTGCTCGCAATATTACGTATTATAGATAGATGCAAAAGAGTGTCTGTGAAAGGAGTATTTGCACGCATCATTTTATGAGATGGTAGAATCTGGCAGTGCAAACGAAAAGACCATTGAGTATGTGGTTAATTTCAATAGCAACAATTAAGTTTTGCAGTAATTTCTTGAAAATATGGCTGCAGCAGAAAAAGCACTGGGAAGGCTTACTGAACAGAACAGTAATAAAAACCTGACATGCAGTGAGGTATTTGCCTCTGTGCAGTTATTTCTAGTACAATAAAGTTATTCTATATTTGCCAATGTTGTCTTGATAATATTCTTAAAACCTGACAGGCAAGAATTGACTCTCAGTTACCACAGCATCATGAAGGCAAATTCATTTAATTGATTATGGTTTGCAGCAATTGCCTTATCAGATAAGAAAATAAACATCTTCAGGGTGTATTTATAAAGGATTCAATAAATTATTTGGCAGTAAATCTTTTATAGCAATTTGTTCTTCTGAAATTCATCCACGTCACCCTAGTTATAAAAACGTGCATGTACACCAGTAAATGCATACAGCTGGCAAATCTTTTTAAAACAGCGTTTTCCCGAATAGGTGACTTTGCCAGCCACAGTTTAACAGAGGGTTGGAACTATGTTTTTGCACACTGTCAGCACTGGGAAGGATTTAAAAAATAAATAAACAAAAACCAGTGTGCCTTCTTTCAGGCATAACCAGCTGGAGGTGCCAAAGAGTTGCCGCCAGCATTGGCCACAGGTATTTTGAAGGGGGTTCACTTTCTTTTTTGGGGGGGGGGATTCCTACCAAAGCACGTCACCATGCTGGTGCATATGCGCTGGCAAATTTACATGGAACTGTATTTTTTGAGTATGGTGACAGTTGTGCAGTGAATTTTGGTTGCATATATAGTGATTGTTTGCAAATCCTTTATACATATATCCATAGTGTAAACGCTTTATTGTGAAGGTTGCTTTTGTTAAGGCTCCTGTGAAGTAATCCTAAGCAGTGTGACACAAAGTGACCACAATGAGAGGACTGCAAATCACTGACTATGTGAAATTGAATTTATTTAGTGGAAGTGATTATACATGAACAAATAAGGGAAACAAACATAGCAATACTTTGACCAACCCAGCAATGAGGGAGTAATGGGAAAACAAACAAAGGAAGAAAGCTGTACTAAGTAAAAAAAAAAGCACAAGTGCAGGGGAGGACTGATAAATACTTAAGGCTTTAGCAGGAAAGACAATAAAATAGGTAAGGCATCTTAATATGAAATAAATAGTAATTTCAGGTCATAAGTGAAAAACCAATTAGTGAGATACTAGTGTGTAAATCTGGTGGCCATGAAAAACCTGTGTGTGTGTGTGTGTGTGTATGTATGTATGTATACACATACACTGTGTGTATGTGTATATATATATATACACATACACACAGTATATAAGTTTATTATAATTATTCAGGATTTATATAATGCCAACAGTTGTTGTGCAGAGCTTGACAAAATGGAGGGAGTCAGTTCAATACAATTTCAATACATTAGGGTTAGGAGGGGCCTGGTCATTGGAGCTTACAATCTAGTAGGAGGGGCTTGTGATACAAAAGGTAATAATTTTGTGGGAAGAGCTGATGGAAGAAGTAAAAGGACAGTTATTATGTTGAGGTGGGATAGGCTTCCCTGAGGAGATGAGTTTTCAAGGATCGTCTAAAAGTTGGACACATTAGGAGATACGTGGAAAGATTGGGGTAGGGAGCTCCAGAGAATGGCACTAGAGAAGTCCTGGAGTCAAGAATGAGAGGAGGTGATGAGGGGGCTAGAGAGCAGGAGGTCTTGAGAGGAGTGGAGAGGGCAGTTTGAGTGATATTTTGAGATAAGGAGTTGTAGATGGCATTGTATGTTATTGTTAGTATTTTGAATTTTATTAGTTGGGCAAGTGGAAGCCAATGGAGAGAGTGTCAGAGGGGGCGGACACTGAACCGTTAGTAAAGTGGATGGGTCTGGCAGCAGCATTCATGATAGACTGTGTATTGGTAGGCCAACAAGGAGGGAGTTTCAATAGTTGAGGAAGGAGAGATTACAAGGGAGTGAAGTAGAAGCCTTGTGCTTGTCGTTTTTTTGCTATGATCATAGCAGTTAACCTTGGAGTACCGTCTTTGGTTAATTGGGTAGTTTTAAAGGTTTTGCCAATTTTAGCATTGTTTTTTGTGGTGTATCTTCAATTTGCTTTCAGGTTTCCTCTTACTGGCATGGCTCTTCAGTTAAATTTTTTTATATTATTCACAGTAACGGGTTCACTTTTTAGAAGATTATTTTGCTCTATGGATGCCCCAAACTGTCCCTAGACCACCTGAAAAATACTGTTAAATTGCTTTCTAAATTGGCTTCTAGAGCACCACAAAAATGCATATGACACTTTTGTAGCAAGGCAGAGCACAATGCACAATATATAGGTTGTGATGCTCTGCAGTTTGCAGAGTGTTGCACTCTACTGTGCAGTGTATTCTGGTGCCGTTTACAATTGCATTGCTGTGTGTTGTAGGAACAAGCGGTAATGCATATCTGTTAACAACAAACAAGGGTTTATGGGCCCTGACTTTTGGGTATAGTCCCTCTATTTATCCACAATGCAGTGCTTGGCACCTGAACAGCCTCTTGCCAAGACTGATCACTGTCACTTGGCTACAGGGAGAGAGTACACAGTCTTGTATTACACTCATGCTATTTCTATTTCTGTTTTTTGTTTTGGTTAGAGCAGAGAATAGATTATCTGTCCTAGAGACACAACCTGTAGTATAAATAAATATCTCAAAATCCCCATCACCAGAACAGGTATCCCTTCACTTCTTTCCCTGGGACAAAGGTAACATTTTAGATTTCCCATAATTTTCTGTTCCAGAGAGAATAGCCACCAGGACAAATAAAGAGTGGGAACTTGATTAAAATATTAAGATTAAAAATATTATGGCTTTGTATACACTTCAAACATTTTCATGGACAGGATTATGCACTTCCAACACCACATTAATTGTACGTATTTGGTGATATTTAACTGCTTTATAAATGGTCATTTCTGTACATGAAAACCCTACAGTAATCTGTATTTGTTTGCATGGCTGAAAGCAGGTTTAGGTTCTGAATAATGCTTAAAATGTTTAACAAAGAGAGGTTTAGTGAGAAGAATTCTAATATGTAAGTTGAAGTGTCTGTCACTGTCATTCTTAAACATGTAGCTTTGATTCTTAAGACCTATGTCACAAGATAAGTGCTAAGAATTCAAGTAGCTTTCACTTCACTCTTTATGCTATATAAAGTTCATATTCACAATTGTAAGATAATGCTTTGACTGGCTGAATTATGGCCAGAGTCTGTTTCGTTGAGTAACGGAAAATGCACTTTTTTTAGTATTGAGACTGTAATTCAATGAATTAAATTCAAATAATGCAGTTTCCATGCAGCCCTTCCATACTGCATGGGTAACTGTTCATTTTGTCTAGGGGGATTAGAATAAGGTGGAATAATTAACGTATTTATTGCTTCTGAAGGGTTCCACCTTCAGAAGCAAGACAGGTACTGAGAGCGCCACAGCTGGGACGGATCACGACAATACTGATAGCTGTATTACTTTTTTGTGTCCCTACTAGGGAAAATCCCGAGTAGATATGAACCTTCTCTACTCTCTCCCACACTAAGAAAAAATGGTTTGGCCAGAGTTCCTTTTTTTTTTATTTGTGAACAATTATGCAAATATGCAATACATACTTAATACAAAGATTTTTACTGCCTAATCTATTTAAATTGTCACAAGACTGGAGTTGTGGTTTAGGGACATTCACACATACAGTGGTGACTAATGTTTCTCTACGCCGGATGAATGCAGTGACTGCTAGGGCAACACCAGAAACTGAAAACAACTGCTTTCTGTGTAGTCCGTTCACACCACAATGCAGGTGTGATTTGTGGTGCAGTGGGCTGTGGTTCAATCCTGCATTTTTCTGCAGTGCACTGGCTGCTGCTGGATGTCACCGCAGGAAAAACAAATAGTGTCTTGCATTTTAACTGCACAAGGCACCACTGCCACTCACTGCATGTTTTACTGTTCAGCTAGTGTAAACAAGCCCTAAAAGAAAGTGGCTTGCACAAAATTTAGCAATGGCAATAAAGTTGAAAATATGATAATTTCTTCTATTTACCGGTATTTACTATTTCAGTAAAAATTAAATTTTTGGTTAAAGTCAGAGCCAAATTCTATGCAGATATCATAAAGAAAAAGTTTTGTTTTTGCCCAATAATTAATTTGGATGCTGTTGCTCTAATTTCCTGAATATGTCTTCTTTCTTCAAAGGAATTTCTCACAGTCAACTGAACAGTAGATATCATCCTGCAACTTGTACTAATAAGGTTAAATTGAATTGTGAACCTAACGCATTTCAGGCACTGGGGTCTGAAGGAGTGGTGTTCACTCAGGCACACAGTGAGGGGCTTAGCAGTGACGTGATGTCCATTAAAAATCTAGCAAGCCAGAAAGAGGCAAGGGGTAACCAAGGAATGCATATTCAGAATAGTAGTGTCACCCTCAGACTAAATTGTGGAATACTGGTATATGTATATAAATGTATATGTCAGCTGTGTATTAAGTTGTTTAGTTGGAGTTCTGCTTCAGGTATTCACTTTCTAATATATTTTAACATATACCACAATTAATAAATGTAAAGAACTTTATTGAATTCTGAAAAGTGGTTTGCAATTTGATGCATTAACTTTCCAGGCTAAATGAAAAAATGCTAGTAGATTTGTGTCTAACAAAATGTCCATCCAATGAAATGTGAATTTAATTAAAGTTGTGTTACTTTGCTATAATTAGAAAAGAGAAAATATTAACAAACGCACGGTAGCTTGCACACCATGTACTAATTACTGTCCATGTTATCATTTTTTTTCCTATTAATGACTTTTCTCATTTTCTCCAGGATATAGACCTGCGGCTAACTGGATTTGATTTATAAGAAGTCAGTGTGGAATAAATGGCAGCTCCTGTGATATTGCTACTTTGGAAAACAGTATTGTCAATAGAATGTAGCCTGATAAATAGTGCTTAGTGAAGATACTGCTTCAGTGAGTGGGAAATCAATGGAAGAATCTTGCTGCGTGAAAACCCTTCTGAGATTTTTCTGGCAGGATCGCATTTAACAAACCTGATACATTTTCTTCGATTGCCCTGTTTTACACAAGTGGATACAAATATCATTGCTTTCCTCTGCAACTAATGTGGGACTATGGCATTTCCAAGGTCCATGCGACTGAAATGTTTGTGGAGAGTAGCAAGGTTGCGTCTGTTATCCATGGGTCTGGATTTCACGTTTTCCTTGTGCCTGTTGGGATTTTTGCTTCACATTACAGCTGTGTGCTCACAAAAACTGGATGATGTAGACCCCATAGTAACAACGACTTATGGAAAAGTACGAGGCATTAAGAAAGAACTCAATAATGAAATCCTAGGGCCTGTTATCCAATTCCTTGGTGTTCCTTATGCTGCTTCTCCAGTAGGGGAACGACGTTTTCAACCTCCAGAGCCTCCAACGACTTGGGAGAATATAAAAAATGGCACTCAATTTGCCCCTGTTTGTCCGCAAAACATTGTAGGAGGCAGGCTTCCTGAAGTCATGCTTCCTGTTTGGTTCACCAACAACCTGGATGTAATTTCTTCCTATGTGCAAGACCAGAGTGAAGACTGCCTATATTTAAATATATATGTCCCAACTGAGGATGGTGAGTTCCATGCGGGAATAAAACCAGGAAAACTCTTTTATTTTTTTCACTTTTCTAAAATCTAACCATATTAATCCTGTGTATAGGTTGCATGCTTGATTAGTTGTTGGCATGCTGGCTTTTCAATGTGCATGCAGCTCTTTTATGTGTGATCCTGTTTCTGTACTCATGTCTACACTCATGTCCTCCTGAGACACAGGTATTACAATGGAAGGTACTCCCTTTCTCTTACCTGGCCATTGATGATACATCCTCCTCCATTTGCATGTGCAGGCTCCACAGCGTTGGATACATAGCCAAAGGCAGAGCTAGGTAAACGGTGTTGCATGCTCCTACTCTCTGTCTCGGAGCTCCATGTTATTTTTTAGTCTTCTATTCATTTTTCAGTAAAAAGAATATCCAAGGAATGTGCCCGGAAACCCGGCAAGAAAATATGTAGAAAAGGAGGTATGTATTAAAGTAAAAAAAAATATATGGAAAACTTCGAAGGAGGTTAGGTATGACAGTACTAGATCTATCCTACATCCAACAGAAACAAAACATATACAATCAGCTTTGTACATTGTATTGTTTACATCCTTAGGATATTACATTATACTAAGAAACAGTTTGAAGGAAACACCAGTAAATACATATGTTTTGAGTAAAAAAGGATTGTGATAATTCTTTTTTAAAGGTTATACTTTACTGAAACTTTTAAGACTGGCAAAATTAATACATTCCAAACCACTAAACAGGTTGCAGAGAAAATTCTTATTTTTACATTTGCTCCTTACCAGAACTAGGTGTTTAAACTGAACACAGATTATCTAGTCACCTGTCAATGCATATCCTTGACAGAGATTTACAGGGTTATTCACAAAAGGGTGAAGAGTTAGGAGAAGGCAGAAGGGAACAATCTAGGACAACATAGCAGAACTGAAAAGCAAGCTGAATTATAGGATTTTTCCAAAACAGCTATTTTGGCCTAGATTGTTCACTTCTCCTGCCTTCTCCTATTTCTTCATCCTTTTGTGAATAGCCTGTTAGATGCAAGATCAATTTGATCTTCCAAGAATTAAGGCAAGATACATTTTGCAAACATCTGAAGTAGGTGCCTATATTTTTGTTTAAGACCAGCAAAAGTGCTTACTCCAGATGCCCAAGGAAGCTAGAAATAAATGAAAGTGCAAAGAAACAAAAACTGTTGCATGTATTCATAACTAAGTGCATATTTGAAGTGAAGAAAGAATTGCTGGATCTTCAGATCATCTCTTTTTAATCAAATGTGTCACAATCCTTGGCAATTCACATAAAATTAAATAAACTGCATAAACCAGTTTTAATGATTACCACATGTCAAAAAAATCAGTAAATGCAAACGGTTAGGCACTAAAGTTATTTACAAATCTTGACTTTTCCTGTAAAGCTGCAGAGTGTCCATTTAGACCACTGAGTCTGTCACTTTAAAGTACCAATAGGGAAACTCAGAAGAAGGTGGGCATATACAGATGATTTCAGCTGTCTATACCTCTCTATCCACTACTGATTTTGATTTGTGGTGTTCCCTGAAGGTAACTCCTGCTTATGCATATTTTGATATACTTTATATACTCATTGCCTATGCTTGTGACAGTTTTGCTTTAAGGAACTGCCAACTTTTAATATTAATAAATACAAGAGCTTTTCTCGGATATTTGAAAATTGCTCCCCATCGTCTACTTCCTATATGCAATCAAGCAGTTTCTCCTCCCATCTCCTTACACACCCTCCATAAGCAACAGTGGTAATGTTAGCCTAGTGCTACCTGCGCTTGCTTGGCAGACAGTAAGTTCACCAGAGAGATGTAATTGAGTTCCTAGCACATTGTAATTCCTAGCACATGTGAATAGTTGGTCTGCAATGACATATAGCTGCTCACTTTCTTTCTCAAACCGGAATGTGAGGTCGAAGGCTGTGATTCAATTTTCATTTATTCTGCTATACCTTCATAATTTTGCTGAATTTGCCCTTGATGTTTCAATGTAAGCTGTCTTTATTTCAAAAGACAAAGTTCAGTCATGTTAAAGGATTTTTTTCATCCATTTTGCATAAAAAGTGGGATTTATTTTTACTCATTCACAAACTCATTTACACATTTTACAATAGAGAAATGTATACCAATAGGCAATATGTTATAGTATTATATGGAAAACACACAAGCAGATGCATTATATAGTGCAGACAATGGTATTTATACCTATGTTTATATTTGTATTATTGTGTGCTGTAGTTATCTGTAAAATGTTATTATTGCAGTTACAAAGTATATATCAATACACAGTAGTGATGAATGTGCCTCACGCAGGGCAAAGTTACAGGTTCACTTTAATGTCTCCATCCCCAGCAGCCAACATCTTTCCAATACTCTCAGCCACTGAGAGTAAAGAAAGACAGCTTTATATGTCTAAGCTTACACATTACTGAAGACCATCTACATTCTTCAAGACCTCATGTGACAGCCCTGGACCAATCACTGAGCACCATTGCTCTTACATGAGAGAATGTTACATGCTTTTCAGAGCAGGGGTTGCTGAAGAAAATGAAACTGAACCTATTGCTTTAAAGTATATGTGTACTTTGAAGTAGATTTTCTACTAATTAAAAATAATAATACCAATTGGATTACAAAGTTGAATATTTTGTTAAGCTATAGAGCAGCTAAAAATCCTCAGGCTACAGTCACACATGAACAGCGGTGTCTGTAATTGCTTTTTGCATTTGTACATACATTTACAGGCTTAAACGTTTTTGTTTAACGAATGGAAAGCTAGTTTCTAGCTTGTAGGTGTTTTTAGGTGTTTATAAGTCTTTTGGGGTCAAAAACCTGTGATTCTTCCCCAGTAATGACAGCACATTGCTCAGATTTGCATGGGCACAATAGAATTACATGGAAATCTAAGTGTCAAGCATTGAAACGCTTTTGGAAATGCACATTAAATAGCTCAGGTGGAAATGGGGGGGGGTTGTGCAACTACTGCACCATTTTGCATATTTTCCCCCTCAATGGGTGAACAGCTAATAGGCAGTTTAGGACCTGGCAGCCTGAAGACTATTGTTAGCATGCCGCTTCCTGCTCTAGATTAAATTGACTTACACGATAGAACTTGAGAAACTCTTGTAGTCATGGGAGACAATCTGAGTGAGAGAATTGGCCATAAAAAAAATCAAACCTTTGGATGTCCGTTAGAGGCATGGAACACCATTAAAAAATAGTTGTATAAAATTATTCGTAGATGACTGGATTATCTTTAATGGGCTTTTAGATAGTGTTTAGTATAAAAATGAGTTCTTTATTATTTTATCAGAACTAGATAGATAGATAGATAGATAGATAGATAGATAGATAGATAGATAGATAGATTCAGCAGCTTGTTTGCATTTTTTAAATTTCCCTACCCTTGGCTGGGGCTTTGAAGGTCTATATTTACCAACCCCTCCTCTGGAATGCAAATATGGCAATTTACCAGGATAAGTGCTGAAAAATAACCTGTAAATGAATCCCTACCTACTTTCCCTTTATTAATTCCACCTTCTGTCTAGAGTTTTAAAAAGACTTCAATCACAACTTATATTAATGAGCATACAGCGATTGCCAGGTTGTAAATAATTACAGGACAAAAATAATCACAAATTAGTTGACAGTTCAATGAATATGAGCTACAAGTAATGTGCATACATTTATTCACTTGTACAAAGCAAAAAGTAAAAAAACAAAAAACTGCTATATTTCACTTAAAGGATTTTTTTTTAATCTTATGCTATTCATACTTGTTTAAGTAATTTTTTAGATGCATATATTTATCTATGTGTAATTTATGAAACATTTAAAGAAAATTATTTTGCAGATTTTTACCCTATGTACAAATTCTTTGATTAGGCACATGTTTGGATGTAAACGTGGCACTACAGACTTATTTCTGTTTGCTGAATCTAGTACTATTTAGTATATTGAAATAGGTTCATCATGAAAAAGAAATTTATAATGAGAGCTTGGGCATTTATGCTTAGTAAATTCAATAAATATCACATTACGGAGAACACACTATTTTACTGCTTCTCTTTTTCTGATTACCTTTTCCACAAGGTCATTTCTCCTTTGGTGTTATAATTAGAGGTGCACCGAAATGGAAATGTCAAAACCGAAACCGAAATAAAAAAAATTGTCAGGATAAAACCGAAAATGTTGTTGTTTTTTTTAATGTTTTTTATTTTAATTTTTTCAATTTTTAAAATTTTATTGCTATTTATTTTTTATAAACTTAATTTTTTTATATTTATTTATTCATTCATTTTTTTATTAAATATTTTTATTTTTTACTTTTAGGTGCTTTTAGGTCGGGGAAATATTAGGGGTCTAAAGAGACCCCCTGATATTTCCCTTTTGAAATAGAAAAAGAGATGGTGGACACAAAGTCCTCCATCTCTTTTTCTGCAGCCCCTGTTATCAATGAACAGGAATCCTTTTATGAGTGTTCCTGTTCATTTATAACATGAGGAAATTGTATGTTTACTATAACCACAATCATGAATGAACAGGAGGTGATGTAGATCACTTCCATTCATTTGTAATTGAGGATATAGTAAACATACCATGTCCTCAATTATGTACAAACACTCAGCGATCAATGATCGCTGAGTGTTTGCACTTGCTTTCCTCTCTGACATGCTGTCACAGGAGGTTGAGCGAGCGGTGCAGGGAGAAGAGCTCAGCCTCCTGTGACAGTGCTGGCTGTCTCCGCCCACACAACCCTCTGCCGGACTGTGATAGGAGGCTGAGCGGTGTGGGAGGAGAGACGCCGGCCGCTCACAGCGATCTCCTCCCGCAGCGCTCGGCCAACTGTCACACTTTCTCTCCTCTCCGCTTGGACACAGAGCAGCGCCCAGCGGGGGAGGAAAGAAAGCAGGGATGCGCTGATGTATCGCCAGGAAAATGGCACTTTCTGCATTTAGCCAAAAGTGCAATTTTCGGGCCGATATATTGGTGCATCCATAGTTATAATTAGACATCCTATATTTCCAGAGAAACCCCTGCTTGTCAAAACCAACAATCTACCCTGAATCTCCTCAGATTAGTTCATTCTTCTGCTTCAATCAGTAAAGCTAGATGAAGAACTGTCACAATGTTCAGTCACCTGTAAAGCAGACTTATACTTTCTGGACATCATTACTTTACACCTTTTATTACTCCCAGTGACAGCCAGGGCCAAATTCCTGCATAGCCAACATAGGCTATTGCCAATAACTGCAGGGCTGTATGGGGCTGCACACGGCCACTCACACATATTTTGTTGAATGTTACAAACTCTCTTGTATAATGCAAGATTCTTGTTTTCCTCCCTTCCTGTTAGTAGTGTTTATCTAACCAGCTTCTGTCCCAATTCAGATTGTGCATTTACTGTTCTATGTCATTACAGTTCTCCCACTCC